GCGGGTTAACCTCCCACCTTCCTTTTCAGATAATCTTCCAAAAACCCTCTGCTCTGTGATTTATGTTTTCCTCATCTGACTGGCCCATTCTCAACAGTTCCATTCTCTCCCTTAGGTCTAGAGCAGTGGTCCCCAATCTTTTTGGCACCAGGGACTGGTGCTCCTACCAGAATCTAATGCCTGATGGATGATCTGAGGTGGAGCTGAGGCAGTGATGACGCTAGCTAGCACTGGGGAGTGGCTGCAAATACAGATGAAGCTCTGCTTGCTCACCAGCCAGCCACTCACCTCCTGCTGTGTGGCCGGGTTCCTGACAGGCCACAAACAGGTCCATGGCCTGGGGTCTGGGGACCCCAGGTCTAGAGGACGCCACACTCACCTAATTGAGCTGTTTAGATTATTCCGTCTTCTCATTTGCATCTGTGCGATATCTAAGATTACAAGCCCACCTCCAATACCCAGTTCAGGGAAAAGGGCTTTTAGTCAGTGAAATTCTGCCTAGCAACCGTTGGCGTTACTGCAGTCAGCGGGTTGATTGGCTAGATTTGGGAACCTGGGGACCCATTTCCTTTTACAGTTCACCACAAAAACCACAGAGACCGGTAGTTTGCACTTGGCTGATGTATTTGCATAAAGCCAGGGAGAGAAAAACAGCAGGGACAGCAGTAGGCTAAGCTCACTGGCAGTAGAAATCCCATTTCTGGAAAAGAGAAACAGTGAGGACAAAACCAGCGGGTCAGACCAGTGGTTTTAGCAAAGGCTGTAGCAGCAGGGGCCAGGTTTGGCCACACAAGTGCTATGCAAAATAGCCCAGAGCCCTCTAATCTTTGCATTTCTCAACTAGACTGGGACTTAGAAATCACTCCCTATTTTGCAGACGAGAAAACTGAGGCAGGAAACTTGTCCCAGTGCACACAAGGAGGCTGCCGGGGAGCAAAGGGTAGGAGTATCTCTGCCCATCATCACAACCCAAGGATCCTCCCTCCAGATCCCTGCCAGCCACCAAGACACTCACATCTGTCTTCACATCGACTTTGCCAGGTTTCAGAGTCTGGTCCTCACGTACAATGCTACTGGGGAAGTAGCCCAGGCGAGCAGCCAGGTCTCCATAGTAATCTCCCTGAACCTGAGGAAAAGGGGTTAAAAACCAGGGTCTTGGAAGATGGCAAACCCCAGCCTGCTGAAGACCTTTGCATTAGCTCTTCTCCCTGATCTCCGCATGGCTAGCTCCATCCTTGTCACTCCCATCTCAGCTTAAAGTCGCCTCCCTGACCATCTGATGTAGTTACCAAGTCATTCTATGTATGTTAATTTTCAAAACAGCACCCATTTGCTGATTTTTGATGGCTTGTCTCCTTCCATTAGAATAAAGGATTATTTGCTGGTGTATCTTCAGAGTCTAGAACAGAATTTGGCACCATAGGAGGTGCCCTATAATTGCTAAACAAAGTGAAAATAGATCACGATAGCTTCCCCCAAATCCATTTCGGTCCACCCCCTCAAATGTTTCCTTTATGTGAAAAATTAGAGCACACTCCCACCCTGGCCCCATACCCGTTCCTCTTCTCAAAACTCACGCTGCCTCCCCAGAAGAGCCGCCCTCGGCCCTTCAGCTTTGAGAAGACATACACAACTTGGCCCCTGTGTATGGTCAGGAAACGGCAGTCAGGGGCCACGTAGTCCTGAAGGGCCACAGCCATGGAGATGGGGTCTGGGGAAGGAACAGAAAGGAATGACAGCACCCTCCACACAGGCTGGCAACCCAAGCCCCCCACCCCCTCCCCCGCTCTTACAGCTGCATTCCTCATCAGCACACAGCTTCCGTTCAGCCAGTTTGGGCATGGGGCGGCCCCCAACACTACATCCTGGGAAGGCAGACAGCAAGATGAGGATACCGAGGAACACCCTGGACCAAGCCATCATGGGCTATGAGAGTGACCAAGGGGAGAATGGGGTCTCGAACCTCCTCCTGCACTCTCCAGCAGTACAAGAAAACCTGTGTTCTGGGTCTTGTCCCCGCCCTAAACCAGTCATAAATTTCGTCCACACCACCTAGAGACTGCTACCCAGCCAGAACCATTTCAAAGGCAGGGTGAGGGCTGCCCGCCCAAAGAAGTAATCAGATAGACCCAAAGCAGCCCAGGCCACTCCAAGTGACAGATACCCCCTCAACAATCAGAGAGGCCCGGACAGGCAGGCAGAGATATTCAATTCCATCTTCTCCAGAGTCTGCTTGAGTACCTGGGCCTCTCTGCTGTCCCCTCCAGGGACAGAATCAGAGAAGCCAGTATGGAAAACCACCTTGGAATTTCCTGTGCTGAAGGGCAGAACAGACAGCCCTTTGATCGCCAAAAACAGCCCCAGCTCTCAAGTGCCAAGCGAATGTTACACGTGGGGCCTTAGGCTAAGCAATGCCTTCTTCACCAGCCACTTCCTGAGTGACCTGGCCTAAGCTTTTTCTCCTCTTGGAGCCTCACCTTTCTCATTTGTAAAATAAGGATAATAAAAGCTAAAAGTTATTTATAGAACCTTCACCATTTTGTTTTATTAATTCAAATGGATATGGAAGCATAGAGCCTTAAGGAACTTGTCCAAGGTTACAGGGCCAGGAAATGACAAGGCTAGATTTGGCTCCAGGCCCATACTGAGCTGGGAGTTCACTTGCCAAAGATCAGAATGAGAAAGTACAGAATTCGAACACAAGTCTCACTTCTAAAACTGTGCTTCATATAGAAATCCACTTGCTGAGATCATTCTCCTGAGCCTCTACCTCTTTCCCCAGGCATTCTCACCTCTGGGATGGCAAGTCCCAACTTTTTTTTTTTTGGTAGTGAGGAGGAAGAGGATGAACTCACAAAGGCTTGGGGTGGGGAATTCACTAGGGGCCACTGGACCTAAGCTATCTCTACATACCTAACACCCAGCTCCAAGTTCCATGGGAGCGTCAGACAGCTCTATGTGAATGTCACGTCACCTCCTCCGAGGGGGCTTTCCTGGGCCACCCAGTTACTGTTCCTCAGTCCCACTCCCATCACTCCATGACATATTTTGCTTATATCAGAATACAGTATTTGAAATAGTGTGTCTATTTTTTTCACCGCTGAATATCCTTTACCAGGAACAGTATTTAGTACATAATAGGTACTCACCAAGTATCTGCTGAATTTACTGTGTTTGCTAAGTGCCTGGGGTGGGGGTGCAGGGGTAGCCAGTACGAACAATATATCACAGAATACAAACAATATAGTATTAACATAGAAAGATTCCTCTTTACACAGCAAGAAAATGACTCTAACCAGTGTACTGTATACTTGAAACTAAAGAAAAAGAGTGGGCGAGGGAACAGCTAGGGAGTCCCCTAGGCAGTTGGCAAATACCAGGATCTGCTGACCACAGAACCTGTGGCTGCCAGTGTGGTAGACGAGATGTTTTCGTTTGCCATCTGTGGTAATTGTCTTTTCGTGAAGCTGGCAGCCCCCTTTCTCCTTCCAGTCCTTCAGCTCCTACAAGGAGAAAAGTCTGCATTTGGTGCTACAAGTCTCACCACTTCAGTGATGTTCCTCTTTAACGGAAAGAGCAGAGCAGGGGCAGCCTTGGGCGTTAGATCCTTGGCAAGAAAAGAATATCCAGAAAATTTAACATGTCTTATTGTATTTATTTTTGTAGTTAATGTTCTACTTCTGGCAAATGACCTCATTTTCCCACTCTATGTGGTATGAGAAAGCATTTTAAGCAATATTTTTTTGAGTCAATTTAAAATTTTCAAGATCAGGTGTGTGACAGACAGCTAAGGAAGGTCCCCCATTCGATCTCCCCTCATCAATAGCTTCAGCCTGGAAATATGACTGTCCAGCCAGAAACTACATTTCCCAGCCTCCTTTGCAGCTGCGAGCACCGAAGAATTTGGTTCAGCCACCTGCAAGGCTTCTGGTTGGCAGATGGCCAGCAAGGGAGGTCCGCTGTGTATGCAATGGCCACACTCTTTGTACCAGCATCTGGTCAGTAGCTTTCCACATGGGACCAGGTCAATTTGGGCCTCCTGTTAGCAGCAGGGGCATCTTCCTCTCTAAACTGCAGCTCAATCAGGGGTTGCGAATTTAAACTCAAGTGTTTCAAACCCAATGATTTCATGAGCACCCAGTCCCCTTCTTTTTCTTCCTGAAGTACCTAGAGTGATTGCCGTGGGGCTGTTGCTACAATAGGAGGCACTTTTGCAAAGATTAGAAAAAGGAAAAGAAAAATCTCTTCCTTGACACTCTATCACATTAGAAAGTTATTGGAATAAACACACAAGTCTACAGAGTGAATGGTGCACCATTAAAGATGACATCCTTGTGCAGTACAGAACCTGCCCAATGGTACAAGGCAGTCTTGGCCTCGATTTCCTGCACTGAATGCTGACTGAGACAACACTGAAATCTGCCAAAATAGTGCAGGTGACTTCAGCTTGGACAATATTAGTTCATACTCTTTGTGTTTTCCCAAGGTTGCAAACTCCACATGCTGAGAGGTCCAAAAATTCAGACTCTTCTTAAATGCAAAAAAGGGAACACGAACAACAAAATAAAAACGACATATGTCTGTGAAAACCAAACATCAAAAAAACACTTTAATTCCAACCTAACAGCGCCAGGTGCAATGTCTGGGGACAGACTCTGGGTACAATGCTGTGTGACCACTCACTCACACACGCAGCTCCAAGAAGGCCCCCGAGGGGGACTTACCTTCAGGGGGCTGAGCCAAGGGGAAGAGGGGAGGCCCCCAAACAGGGGGCGGGGGCAGGCATGGGGAAAAGGCGCTACTTCTTGGCAAAAGAGATCTTCATGGCATTGTTCTGGGTGATCTTGAAGCCCTGCAGGGCATCACGAGCAGCCCCTGCCTGCACCTCATTGTCAAATTCCACGAAGGCGATATCGTGCCGCCCAGGGACCAGCCGGACCTCCTTGAAGCCAGGGAACCTAGGAGAAGGGGACAGACCTCAGGGATCCGGAACTGGCATGTCTCCCTAACATTCTGGCATCTGGTGGGACGACCTCAATAACAAAGAATTACTGGGCCCAAAATGTGCATAGTGGCAAGTTGAAAAACCCTAACGTAAACAAGTGCACACAGTGTAAACATATCATCCAATGAGAAATTCTAACATGAACACCTATGCAACCATAACCCAGAGCAAGAAACAGAACTCGGCCCCCTCACCTCCTTCCCCGATCATAACCCACCCACCTCCACTCCAGAAATAACCACTACCCTGACTTTTAAGAACTGTTTCTTTATTTCCCTCTCTCATTCCCTACTTCCTTCCCCATTAGGCAACCAGCCTCGTGTTGACTGGCCTACTTTTTCTCCATCAGTCGTCTTACGAAATGTGTATTGTTTTGTTTTGTAGACATGGTATACACGTAGCATTGTTTCTATTTTATCCAGTACCTCAAAATTTCCTCTCGGCACTGTTACAAAGAACCAGCCCCCGCACTCTCTCCCTTCTAACCAACGCACAGCACGCCACTACAAGCACTGTTTGACCTCTCCCTTTGCCCAGGCTGCCACAGACTCCCCACCAAGACCACTGCGAGCAATGGCCCATCGACACTCCCTTGGGACTCATGTTAATTATTTCTTTAGGCTACATAATCAGAAGCAGAGCCATCAGGTGAGTGCACACCCGCTGATGTCACTGAACAATGACCGGTTACCCTCTGTAATGGGAGCTGCTGTCTACATCCCATCAGCAGGGCACGGGGGCTCAGAGCTCCCCACCTCCCACTCACCATTTCAACGTGCTGAATTCTGAGGCCTATCCCCATGGTGCCACCTCCTGGCCATCACCCTCCAGTCCCCGCCCGGCCACAGGCCCCACTTACTGGTTGAAAAGCATGGACAGCATGAGTTCGTTGGTCTCCTCCGGCAGGTTGGTGAGGAACAAGATGTGATTTGGCGGGTTTTCTGAAAGCTGCAGGGAGAGACGGGAGCCCATGAGTCTAGTGGGGGACCCGCTGCCCTCTGCTCTCCACCCATAACCCAACCTGAATCCCTTCTAGCCGTTCACCCGACAGCCCCTGTGTGTCACTGCCTGTCCCCCCGCTCTGTGCCCTCTAGACTGAGCCACAAGAAGACACTGCTTGGCAGGTCGCTGAATGAACCGAGGTGCTGGCCACCGCTCCAGCCTCACCCTGACCTCCCAAAGCTTCTCCAACACACATGCCAATCCCTCGCTGCCCCAGGGCCTCCTCCTCACTGTGGTGAGGCACCTCCTCAGGGAGGCCTGCTCAGACCACTCAACCTAACAGCGCCTCTACTGCTGCCCTTCAAGTCCCACATTCTCACTATTATTCAAGACCCCGGGAGGACCAGACACTTACAGGCTGGGCAGGTGGCATCTGGCCCGGCATAAGCTGCTGTGGAGGCATGGCCCCTGGTGGGATCTGGCCAGGTGCAAGGCCTGGAGGTGGGATCATGCCGGGGGGCGGCATGTAGGGAGGCTGGCCCGGGATGTGGTGCATGATGCGGGGTGCCTGAGTCATCGGCGGCATGCCCTGCAAAGAAAGCAGCAGCTGGACTGAGCTGGCGGCCAGCAGGTGGGAGGAGATGCGCTCGGGGTCTCGGCAGGAGGCGCAGAGGAGACAGAGTTGTTAGAAAAAACCCAGGGTGTGAGAGACAGAAAGAAAAGACCCGGGCATGGAAAAAGGTGAAAAAGGCACCCAAAGAGACAAAGGACACCCAAGAGAGACAAATGAAGCAAAACAGATCCATGGTAAAGGTGGACATCAAATCATAAAAATAAAAAAATATTTTCTTAATATATAAAAATCAGTCAGTATAACATAATTTTGGTTATAGACACGTGAACAACAAAAAAAGACTGGTAAATTTTCAAAACATTACCTAAAATTGTTAACTAAGAGGGGTGGAAATAAACACTATAATGAGCACACTGTATTTTCACTTATAAAAATAAACTTTAAGAAAAAGCAAAAGAAACAGACCCAGAGACCTACAGTGAGGTAGAGATGAACAGGGATGGTCAGGACAGGTGCAAAATGAAATGGGAGGGGTGGCAGTAAGGGGGAGAGAAAAACAGCTCGATGGCACACAGCACCGAGGGGACAGGGCTGCCAGACACCAGAAGAGTCAAAGTTTAGGGTAAGAGCGGGGAAGCTGGACAGCAACCGAGACATCATCGTCAATGCCAGACACTGTGAGTTGGCATCAGTGGATGTAGGACAAATACACTGTGACCGACCAGAAAAGCCCACACAGAGACTTGGAGACCTAAGAGTGGGTACAATTCATCCATCTTTCCTTTCGTACTTTGTGCTTTCTGTATCCTGTTTAGAAAACAGGATGTTCCCACTTTTCATGCCCTCATCAAGGTCATGAAGACATTTTCCTGTTTTCTTCCAGAACCTTTATTGTTTTAGCTGTCACGTTCAGATGATTCCTCCCAAATTAACTTATACATAGTTGAGGTAGAGCTAATTTTTTCCTTTACGGGCATCTACTTGGTTTAGCATCACTTACCAAGAAACAAAATTCTTTCGCCAGTGGCCTACAGCAGTATCTCCATAATACAGTGCAGAACCACACAAGTGTGGATCTGTTTCCGGACTCCACTCTGCCCCACTGGCCCATCTGCCTACCATTATGCCAATACCACACCACTCTGCCCTCTGACAGCAGGCACCCAGCTTTACTCTTGCTCGTCCCGCTTTGCCTTTCCGCCTTTAAAAACAGGCTGTCAGTGTCCCCAAAAATTCTTGTTGAGATTTTGATTGGGATTGTGTTGACTCTTAGATCATTCTGTTAAGAACTGACACCTGAACAGTAAGGAGACATCCTACCCATGTGCTGAGGCCGTCCCCAATTTCTCTCAGCAGTGATCTGTAGTTTCAGAGGGTTGCACAACTTTTGATTGACTCCTCAGACCTATTTTTCATTTTGAAGTCTACTTGTAACTACCATACAGAAATAGACCTGACTTTTTTCCATACTGTCCTTTTAATCCAGCAACCTTGCTAAATTAAATTCATTTATTAATCCTAACTGTTGATTAGTAACTTCCTCTGGATTTTCTGCACAGATGGCAAAATCAAGGTCAAAGAGAGAAACGAGACTTGAGACACAGAGAAAGAAAGACCCTAAGGAAAGAGACTGGCAGCCAGGGACAGGCATTTCTGGGTGGAGAGACCATCATCCAGAGATAGGCGTACAATCTCTCTAAGGAAATGGTGGGTGTGTGGCGTGGTGGGGGATGAATCCTCAAGCAGAGACCCCTCCCCACCCTGCCCCAAACCATGCGTGGGGGCAGAGGAAGACCTAGTGATAAGATGGCCCAGCTTACCGGGACAGGCCCCGGGACAGCCCCCACCACAGGGGCGGCAGCCCCGCCCTGCACAGCCTTCTTGGCAGCTGGGGTCTCCTGGCTCTTGGGCTTCCTCTTCTCTCGCTTGCGGTCCCGCTCCACAAAAGTGCCTTTCATCTTGGCAATAATATCCGAGTCAGTCTTGGCGTACTGGATGCGCTGCCAACAGATAGAAGGATTAAGGGAGTGGACTGTGGAGCCAAATCGCCTGAGTGCAAAAACATCTTACCAGGAGCTCAGTGAGTAACGTTATAGAAACCACTGGGCCTCAACATTCTCATCTGTAAAATGAGATTGTGTATTTCCCACTTCAAAGAATAACCATGAGAATTATAGGAGTCCAAGTGCTCTGAACAGTATTTGATACGTAGTTAATGCTCAGTTAGTGGGTTCTTGAGATTTTGAAGGGAGGATGGGAACAGCCCTGAGCATCAAGCCAAAAGTGAAAGCCCCACATAACAAGACTGGGACAGGAGCACTCTGCAGGGGGTTTATAGTCACCCCGCCACGTTTAGAACAGCACCTAGTACCCAAAGCTAAAATCTCATTCACTCGGCTGTTTACAGACCCTCTGCTTGCTCTAGAGGGACAGCAAAGAGCAACCACACAAAAGCCCTACCCTCGTGGAGCTCCTTCAGTGGGAAAGAGAAAATAAAGATTAAAAAGTGAACTGCAGAAGTATTAAGAACTGAAATTTTCAGATAGGAGGGCCAGGAAGGGCCTCGGTGAAGTGACACTGGTGCAGAGACACAGAGCGGGGAGGGAGCCTTTCGTGACACCCAGG